ATGGTGCTGGATAAAATGCATGCCCGGGCCCGGGGACCACGAGCCGTCCTTACCAGGTAAGAGAGAAGCACTTACAAAAAGAGTTTATTATGCAAGTCAAAACAGTCTTGCATTTTCTCGATAAGGCAAAAAGTAGACTCATGGAAATTTCTGTTTTCTTGAAATGTCAAAATGTAGGGTATGGGCTTAATAAAAATCATACATACTACCAACATGAAAAAGCAGCTGATCAAAAAACATTTCACAGGCTCAAGAGCAAAGCCACTGAAGTCTTGCCACCGTCTCCTAATACAACCATTTACTGTGTACCACTTTAAATGTGGTCCTTTTCAGAAATTATATATATTAGAAGGTAAGAACATATATACCCACACATATCAGTATACCTGTGTGCACCCATATGAACACAGAAAACACATACATACATTAGTTGGTAGCCCAAATCACAACGTACTTTAAAAAAAAAAAATTATGTCGTTAGAGCTTAAGTACTTATATTTGCATACTTATTTAAATTAGTTTGAGGTCCATGCTTGCCCCAAGGCACCCTCAGTATCAAGCAAAATGTCTGTGTTTGGGTGATTGGGTAAATTTATTGGGAAAGAGAATTGTGACCACAGTTGGCTTTCTGTATCCACAGGTATAAATTCACAGATTCAACCAACCACAGATCAAAAATTTCGAGGAAGGGGTGGGGGGTGTAGCTCTGTGATAGAGCACTTACTTGCCTAGCGTGCTGCGTTAGGCAGCTTCTCATCACTGAGCCAGAAATACCTGACAGGAACTACTCAGAGGAGGAAAAGTTTACTTTGGGTGCATAGTTGCAGAGAATCAAGTTCATGGTCAGCTAGTTCCTTTGCTCTGGGCCTGCGATGAGGCAAAACATCATGGCAGAGGGTGTGTCAGAGAAAAGCTGCTCAACTCTTGGCAGCCAGGTAGCAGGGATATAGAGACTTGCAGCATAAGCCAGGGACAAAATATAGTTCCTAAGGTCATATCCCTGTGACCTGCTTCCTCCAGCTACACCCCATCTGTTTATACTTACCACCCAGTAGTCCATTCAGGTTATTAATCTTCAAATGGATTAATCCACTGATGAGGTTCCAGCTCTCATTATTGCTTAAAACCCCTACCTCTGAATCTTGCTGCATTGGGGATCATGCTTTCAAAATATGATTTTCAGGGGATACTCCAGATCTAGACCATGACATCTAGCATGTGTGAAGCCCTGGGTTCAATCCCTGGACTGCAAAAAAGAAAAAAGAAAAAAAATTTTTTGAGAGAAAAAATTGTGTCTGTGCTGAACATGAACAGACTTTTTCTTGTCCTTATTCTCTAATCAATATAGTATAGCACCTGTTTACATATCTTGCATTCTACTAGTATTATAAGTAACATACAGAGACTGTAAAATGTGCTGCGTGACGACATTTCGGTCAATGATGGACCACGTGTACAGTGGTGGTCCCTTAAGATTATAATGGACATGGAAAATTCCTATTGCCCAGTGACATTGTAGCCATGGTAACATTGTAGCTCAGCACGTACTCACATGTTTGTGGTGATGCTGATGTAAACCAGCCTGTGCTGCTGGTCCTGTAAAAGCATTGCACTGAACACTTACATAGAATGCACAATTCCTGATAGTGATAAGAGACAACTATGTAACTGCTTTACATATGCTCTATGCTTTTTACCATTACTTTAGAGTGTACTCCTTCTTCTCATAAAATAAATGTACCATAAAGCATGTATATATGTATGCCATGTATGCCACTAGCAGCAGCTGTGGACTTCTTGTGTTTACTGGGTCTGTGGACTGCATCATTTCTCTTGTGCCATATTTAGTCCTGTGTTTGTTCTTCACTTCCCTGAGGAGGAGGAGGAGGAGGAGGAGGAGGGAGCTATACTATGTATACACATGCATACACACCCCGTAAGCCTAGATGTGTAATAAGTAGACTGTATCATAGGTTTGGATAAGTGTACTCTATGATGTTCGTACAACAGTGGGATCCCCTGACATTGCATTTCCCAGACCTGTACCCTGTACCCCATTGTTGAGCCCTGCATGACTGTATGTGAAAGGTGTGTATAGGTATTATGCAGACATGCCATTTTATAGAAAGGATTTGCCTGTCTGTGGATTTTGTTATCCACAGGGGTCCTAGAACCAGTCCCCTGCAAATTCAAGGAATAACTTTGGTAAGCTAAGTATCACATCTTCTTAGGACCATTTTTTCCACCTGGAGAAACTTTGTCTAGAGAGTGGTTCTCAGCTGAGCTATTTTGCCCCCCACCTCCAACCCCTGGGAATATTTGATGATGTCTAGAGATGTTTTTGGTTGTCACAAGTTGGGAATAGGGAGGGAGGTACTGGTATCTAGTGTGTAGAGACCAGGGATGCTATTAAATGTCCTACAGTGCATGAGACACCCCACAACAAAGAGCTCCCAGCTCAGAATATTAGTAGTGTGGGTGGGAGGAACCAGATGGTAGATGTGATGTGGTCTCATCTTCACATCAGCTTGGACAGTGTCTCAGCTTTTATTTTTCTCATATACAAAGTGGAGGTGATTATACCTATGTCACAGAGTACTGGTATATACAGCAAGTATATAGCACAAACTGTAGAAGATGCTCAGTAAAAACCTGGTCCCCTTCCTACTGGCATTGAGCATTGTTTGGATGGTATGTGTAGAAAGAGGAAAAATGGTGCTATTAGTGTTTTTGGTTTTGTTTTTTTCCCAACCAAGAAAGAAACATAGGTGATTTAATCCCTTGAGCTTCAAACTGAACAAATGCACATGTCTGTTGAAATGATAGGCATACATGTGCTTAAAATTGCGGAAAATAGAAGAGAGGTTGACATTATCAAGGTAGTAATCGCCATGGTGATGGGACTCTGTAGATGTCAGTGTGTTTCTCCCTTAAATTCTGATCCCTCGTAGACTTCCATATTAGTTACATCTAAAAACTATTTCAAAGTAACATAACTGTTAAAGCAGTTATTTCTCTGTTTTGCTCTGTTGTATGAAAGAAGTTACTGCTTTGGATTACACATGAAGACTCCAGAGGGCAGGGTCTGTGGTCAGTTATCTCAGAGGTTAAACTACAAGTAGAAGGAGCACCTCCTAGGGGTGGTTCTCCTAGCAAATAAAAATGTGTAGGCATGTCAGTTCTGACATAGTGTTAACATACTGTTTTCATTTGGACCTATTTGTAAGATTTTCATGTGTAGACTTTTTTCAGCAAATGATCTTCAACATATCAGATTTCCCATTGTCACTTTCAACCATAAGAACATAGACAATTTTAAAATTTCAGCATGTGTTGGCAGGTACTGTATTCACCTTCATAATACTTTAGGAGACCTGTGGCAACAACAAAGAAGAAAAAATGCTGTGGAATAAAGCAGGCATGACCCTGAGTTCATGGTTCCCTCACAGAACACCCCTCAGAAGTGTCGTAAAATAAGCTAGCCACAGAGCTCACTTCTCCACCCTCCCCCAAGTGATTTGTGTGATCATTTCCAAGGCAGAGTTGCCTAAATTGTTCAGAATCTCTAATTTTATCTACATCTCTGGATCTTGGATTCTTAACCTTTTATTCTTCAACTCAGCATATATATAAACCACACAGTTCATTCAAGAGACTAACAAGCCCTCAAGCTATGGCAGTAACTATTGGAAACCATTCTTCTTCCAGAGTCTATTCTGCGTAATTTTTCTTGATTTTAAATAACAGAGTACCAAGATATCTCTGGAAAACACTCAAAGGCATTGTTCCCTGATTTGAACATTGCACTGTCCTAATAACAATGATAATGATGGTGGTAGTAATGCTAGGACTGGTGTTTCATGTGATTGTACATTAGTGGAGTATTGTGTCATATAATAAATATTATATATAATTATGTTATTTTTATTTAATAACAACCACCAAGTTACTTCTTTTCTTATTTGAGACTCTTTGGTTAGGTATTTGTGTTAGTCAGCTTTCGTCACGGTGGCCAAATACCTGACAAGAACAACTTAGAGGAGGAAAGATTTATTTTGGCTTATGGTTATGAGGTTCACTCCATGGGCAGCCAACTCCATTGCTCTGGGCCTGAGGTGAGACAGAACATCATAGAGAGGGCATGGCGGAGGAAAACTGCTCAGCTAATGGCAGCCAGAAAGGAGAGAGAGAGAAAGGATGCACATACCCAAGGACTCAGGAACAAGATGTGATCCCCAGGGACATGCTCTCAGTGACCTACTTCCAGCCACACCCCACCTGCCCACAGTTACCATCCAGTAGTCCATTCCAATTATGAATCCGTCAAATGGTAAACCCACTGATGAGGTTATAGCCCTAGTAATCCAGTCTTTTCACCTTTAAACACTGCTGCATCATCATGTGAGTTTTTCAGGGCACAGTCCAGATCTAAGCCATAACATTACTCTTAAGTGCTTTTTTAAAAAGGTAAGGCTGAACAGCATGCTCAAGTTTCCTGTACAATACATGACCAGATCCAGGTGAGCCCTGCTCCAAAGCATCATGTTCTTAGTCTCTATGGGGTGCTGCCTCCTTGTTTGTTTAATATGGTAATAATATATTTGTCCAATAACTTGTTTCAAAGGCAGCCCACTGAAGGGCGATCTCGTGATGGTGGCTTGCGTCTTGGAGAAATGGAACGTGACTGTTTAATTGGCTATGGAGCCAGTATGCTTCTGCTAGAGAGACTAATGATTTCAAGTGATGCCTTTGAGGTTGATGTCTGTGGGCAGTGTGGACTTCTGGGGTATTCCGGCTGGTAAGTGGATATAGTCTCTTATGTCATACCCCTTTTCTCTAAAATCATAGCTCAAGAATTGTCCCTGGATCATACCCACATGTTCTCCAGTCTTGGCCTGTAATCTAGGGTGTCCTCCCTATCCTTGCCTTCCTGTGATTGGGCATTCTGTGTGTGTCATCTGTCTGCATAATGATCTGTTTTCTATACCATTCCCAAGGAATAGAGACTTCATCTTCTTTTTAATATTATCTCAAGTATATTTTACAGCCCTATTCTCCTGAAAAACTCCAAGAAGATACATTGTTAGATGTTAGAATTTACAATCTGTTTAAGAAATTTTGTAGGAAAATTGTGTCAAAAGTCCTTGTTTTTATCTTCAGACACAGTGAACCAAATATGTTGCCTCAGGTCTTAGAGCAGATGGTGACAGAGCCAGGACCAAGACCTGGTGGCCTGATCCTTACCTGTAGTGTACTCCAGCATGGCAAGCTGCTTCACATTTGAACTGTTCACTTCATGAGGGCAGAAGGCATGTCTGTCTCAATCAGTCATTCAGCAAACTTGCGGAGTATCTGCTATTTGACAGACAGTGCTCTGGGCTCCAGCAGTACAGAGTTAGCAAGGTAGATGAGGGCTGCTTAAAAAGAGCTTATCTTCCATTCATTCTGATCATGTGGTCTTGTTGATCTTCACTTCTTCAGCCTGGGATTTGGTGGGTGCTTCATAAAAAAATAATTGATAAATGATAACCCTGCATTTGTCAGATTGCCAATGAGTAATGCAGTTTATAAAGAAATTATTTTTGGTACACAAAGGCCAGCTTAGAGAATGACACTCCCCAGTTTGTTTGTGCAATAGCAGCACCTTTCTATGGTAAGTGGTTCTGCTCTGCCACCAAAGAACATGAAGCTTTATTTAAGGTTATTCATGACCCCACTCGTCCCCATAGGCAAGGGAACCTGTGGTGCCCAGTCTCCCCTCCCTCTTCTGCTGAGACAAGATCTAGCAGAGTGCAGGCAGGGATGGGAGGTAGCCACCACACCCTCAGCAGCCCTCAGCTGCCCTCTCCAAAGCTGCTCTTCCTAGGAAGGGACCACCCCCACAACAGTGAGCATTCATTGCCGGGCTTTAGGAGTACACAGGCCATCTTTTCCCCCACTGAGTCCTTCCCAGAGCCTCCTTCCCAACCTCTTACCATCCTCAGCTGCCAATGTCTTGATTGAATAAAGCTGATGAAGAATCAGAACAAGGGGGCTTCTGAGGACACAGAGTGTACCTTGCTAGTTAAATGTAAAACCTTTTAGCAAATTATTTTATGACAGGTGTAGAGGAGTTTATGAGTCCTGTCCATGAAGAAATTGCATTTTAGGAACTAACAGAAGAAGAAGTGGCCACTTGCAGTTCATTCTTTTCATAAGGTTGCAGAGATGGGGCGACATTCTTCCCAGAATAAGCCTGGCTCTTTCTTATATCAATGAGATGGGGGTTTGTTTCAGTCCTGAGATGTCTATTCGTCTTTTGAAATGCATATTGAGCTTGCTTTTCATAGTCTGGGCTGTGTAACTAAAAAAAAGAAAGAAAAGAAATAGCATAATAGGAAGATGCCGGGAACCGAGTTCCACTATGTTCAAATTTGGCACAAGGATTTTTAAGTAATTTACTTTGAAAGGGCAGAGGAGTCATTCCATTAAAAACAGTAGTCATGAAACTTCAAGAATAGTTTCATTTTCTTTTCTTTTTTGCATTCTCCATCTCCACTGAATGGGGAAAAAGCAGTAAACCAGGTTCACTTACATACTTTGAAAGCTTCCCCTCTCCTCCCTGGGCACTCAGTTAAACCAAGGCAAATGGGAAAACCTGTGTTCAGCGGTGGTTTCTGCACTATTCTTTTCTTTCCTATCTGTTTCACATATAGATCACACACATGGCATGGCAGTGCCTGAGTTTGAAGTTTGTATGTTAGTGTGTATGTCTGTGAAGTCTTTGACAGAGGACTAGATGAAGTTATGCAGTTCGAGGGTCTTTGCTACAATTAAGCAGACCTTGCTGTACCATGTGTTTGATTTTGAGCAGCCTATGCCCTTGATGCCACAGAAAGACTCCTGATGTATTTGGTAGTCTAGCTGCCTCCTTGTGCGCTGCTTTCTGGCGGAGCAGCATAATGATGCTGTCATTTTTCCCATCATTACCTGACCGCGTTTGCCGAGTTGTGTAGGAGGGAGTGCAGCGTTAGTTGGAGAAAGTCGCCCTTTTAATGAGTAGCACAATGGAGTCTGGGTAATTAGAGCAGTTCAGAACCTTAGGACAGGCCTTTGTGGATGATTTGCACATTAGTAAGGCATTGCTATGGGGAGGTTTACAGCAAGGCTGTTGTCCTCAGAAGATGCAAAGGGCAGAAGTCACAAAAGAGGGTCCCTATTAAGATAATTAGCTCGTAGAGGATATTTCACTGGACAGTCATTTCTCAGTGAAGCCACAGCCACCTTCTTTTGCTGTTTTTGTCCTAAAAAAATCAGTTTATTTTAATGTTGTTCTAGTCTACCATCAGGGAAAGGCAATTACACACACACACACACACACACACACGTGCATATATGTATATACACACAGCATTGGGACATTTGAAATGATGGAGAAATTTTTAAAGATAGAGAAGAGTAATGTGCTATCCAGAGTACATGGGCTAGTAATGGGCTATTGTGTGTACATTCAGCACATATAGTTATTTTTAAAAACTTAGATAGGGGTTATAGTGTAATATACCAGATAGGAAAATCAGCAAGCAGTTACCCCAGTCCAATCCACTTTCCCAGTTAAATTAAATCATGAATATGATTCCTGAATAAATTAGATGCACCCAGGCACATTGAAGATATAATACTTAAATTCTGTATAAATACTGCGCGCTAACCGATTGCGCCACTGGAGCTCCTAAATTCTGATGCATTAAAGAGGTAATTTTTTTCCCCACATTTTTTATTGGTACATTATAGTTGTACATCTTGATGGGATTTATTGTTGCATATCTATACAAGTATACAGTATTACAATATAATTTGATATCCCTCCCCAGCACTCCCTCCCCAGCACTCCCTCCCCACCTCTCACCCAGTCCCTCTCCCCTACTGATCTCCCTTTGATATTTTTGGAGACCCACCCCCACATTTGTTTTCCTTTTTCCTCTCTAGCTTCCACATATGACAGGAAACTTATGACCCTTAATCTTCGGAGTTTGACTTATTTTGCTTAACATGATGGTGTGGTCTTTAGTTCCATCCATTTTCCTGCAAATGCCATGATTTCATTTTCTTTATGGATGAATAGAACTCCATTTTGTGTGAGTGTGTGTGTGTGTGTGTATCATATTTTCTTTATCCATTCGTCCATTAATGGACATCTAAGCTGGTTCCATAGTTTGGCTGTTATGAATTGTACTGCTGTGAAATTGAGTATGCATGTACCACTGTAGTAAGATGACTTTAATTCTTCAGGGAAATACTGAGAAGTAGTATAACTGGGTCACATGGTAGTTCCATGCCTAGTCTTTTGAGAAGCCTCTATACTGATTTCCAAAGTGATTGTACTAATTTGCAGTCCCAGAAACAGTGTAAAAGTGTTCCTTTTTCTTCATATTCTCTCCAGAATTTGTTATTTGTATTCTTGATGACTTCCATTCTGACTGGTGTGAGATATAATCTCACTGTAATTTGATTTGCATTTCCCTAATTGCTAATGATTTTGAACATTTTTTTCATGTATTTGTTGGCCATTTGTATTTCTACTTTTGAGAAGTGACTGTTTCATTCACTTGCTCATTTATTAATTGAGTTATTGATTTTTTTGGTGTAAAGTTTTTTGAGCTTTTATATATTCTAGATATTAATCCTCTGTCAGAAGAGTAACTAGCAAAGATTTTCTCCTATTCTGTGGGTTCTCTTTCCCATGCCTAATTGTTTTCTTTGTTATGCAGAAGCTTTTTAATTTGATACTGTTGCATTTATTAACTCTTGGCATTATTTCCTGAGCTTTAGGGATCCTATTGAGAAAGTCATTGCCTCTGCCTAAAAGCTGGAGTGTTGACCCTATGTTTTCTTTTAGGAATTGCACAGTTACTGGCCTAACTCTGAAATCTTTGATCCATTTCAAGTTGCTTTTTGTGCAGAATCTACATATGGATGACTAGTTTTCCCAGCACCATTTGTTAAAAAAGCTGACTTTTCTCCAGTGTATGTTTTTGTCACCTTTGTCAAGGATCAGTTGACTATAGATATGTGGGTTTGTCCCTGTGTCTTCTATTCTGTACCATTGGACTGTGTCTGTTTTTACCATGCAGTTTTTGTTACTATAGCTCTGTAGTATTGAAGTCAGATATTGTGATGCCTCCAGCATTGCTTTTTTGACTTAGAATTACTTTGGCTATTCTGGGTCTTTGATTCTTCCAAATGAATTATAGGACTATTTTTCCTAGATCTTTGAATAATGTCACTGGTGTTTTGAAGTGTATTGCATTGAATCTGTATATTGCTTTTGGTAATATGGCTATTTTTACAATATTAATTCTGCCTATCCATGAACATGGAAGTCTTTTCATCTTCTGAGGTCTTCTTCAATTTCTTTCTTAAATTTTCTATAGTTTTTATTGTATACATCTTGTTTTGTTTAATTTTGTTTTTTTAGGCTATTGTGAATGGAATTGTTTTCCTGATTTCTTCCTCAGGAGATTCATTGTTGGTATATAGGAAAGCTATTGATCTTTGTATGTTGATTTTGTACACTTTGCCAAATTTGTTTATTAGCTCTAGCAGTCTTTAGTGGAATTTTATGGATCTTCTAGATACAGGATCATGTTATCTGCAAATTGTTATAATTTGACTTCTTCCTTTCTTATTTTTATCCCTTTTATTTCCTTCTTTTGCCTCATTGCAAAAGAGGCTGGAGTTTCTGGTACTATATTAAATAGGAGTGGTGAGAGTGGACATCCTTGTTCCAGATTTTAAAGGAAATGCTTGCAGTTTTTTCCCATTTACCCTGAGGTTGACCTCAGGTTTTTCATAGATAGCCTTTATGATGTTGAGATAGGTTCCTTCTGTTCCTAGTTTTTTCCATGTTTTTATCATGAGTATGTGTTGAATTTTGGCAAAGGCCTTCTCTGCATCTATTGAAATTTTTGTTCTTACTTCTGTTAATGTGATGAATTACATTTATTGCTTTGCATCTATTAAACCATCCTTGCATCTCTGGAATAAATACAACTTGATTGTGGTGTATAATCTTCTTAATAAGTTGTTGAATATGATTTGCTATAATTTTATTAAATAATTTTGCATCTAAGTTTATGTGGTCTGTAGTTTTCTTTCCTTGATGTGTCCTTTTCTGGTTTTGGTATGAGTGTGATACGGTTTCATAGAATGAATTTGGACATATTTCATCCCTTTCTATTTCATGGAATAATTTAAGGAGTATTGGCATTAGTTCTTTAAAGGTAGAATTCAGCTGAGAATCCATCTGGTCCTGGGCTTTTCTTTGTTGGAAGGCTTTGTATTACTGCTATATCTCATTACAAATTATTGGTCTATTTAGGTTTTCTTTGTCCTCTTGATTCAGTTTTGGCAGATTGTGCTTGTCTAGAAATGTATCCATTTCTTCTATATTTTCCAATTTACTGGAGTATAAGTTTTCAAAATAGTCCCTGATGAGATTTCTGAGGTGTCTGTGGTGATTTCTCCTTTTTCATCCCTAATTTTATTAATTTGTTTTTTCTCCCTTTTGGTTAGTTTGGTTAATGGCTTATCAATCTTGTATGTCTTTTCAAAGAAGAAACTCTTTGTTTCATTGATCTTTTGTATTTTTTTTCTCAAGTTCATTAATTTTGGCTCTCATCTTACAATATTTCTTACATCTTACAACATTTCTTCCTTCTGTTAGTTTTGAAATTGCTTTGTTCTATATAGGCCTTGAGATGCATCATTGGGTTCTTTCTGATTTTCTTATGTTGGTACTCATAGCTATAAACTTTCCTCCTAGAGTTGTCTTCATAGCGTCCCAGAGATTCTGATATATTAAATCACTTGTGTCTAAGAATTTTTTAACTTCTCCTTCTATTTCTTTTATCACTCATTCATCATTTAGAAGAGTATTGTTCAATCTCTGTGTATTTATATAATTTCTGTAGGGTTTGGTTGTGTTGATTTTTAATTTCATTCCATTATGCTCTGATCAGATGCAAGGAATGATATCAGTTTTTTTGTATTTGCTAAGCATTGCTTTGTGGCCTAAAATATGATCTATTTTGGACAAGGTTCCATGAGCCACTAAGAAAAACTGTATTTAGCTGTTGTTGGATGAAATATTCTGTAGATGTCTGTTAAGTCTGTTTGATTTATAATACTTTTCAGGTCCAAAGAATGTTTACTGAGTTTATTTCTGGATGACCTGTCTAATAGTGAGAGAAGTGTGTTGAAATCACCCAGTATTACTCTACTGGGATCTGTCTGGTCCTTCAATTTGAGTAGGGTCTCTTATGTAATTAGTTGCACCTACATTTGGGGCATAAATATTTATTATTATTTTATCTTCTTGTTGGATTTTGTTCCCTTTACCAATATGAAGTGTACTTCTTTTTATCTTCTGATTAGTTTTGGTGTGAAATTTGCTTTGTCAGATGTGTCATAGCTACGCCTGATTGTTTTCAGTCTCCATTCACATGGTATATCAGTTTTCATCCTTCACTTTCAGCCTGTGGCTTTTTGCCTATATGGTGCATCTCTTGCAAATCAACTTAGGTCTTGTTTTTAATCCATTCTGCCAGCTTTTCTCTTTTAATTGGAAAGTTGAGACCATTTACATTCAATGTTATTATAGAGATGTTGATTAATTCCTGCCATTTTGATTTTTTGTGTGTTTAATTTGATCCTGTTTTCAATTGCTTAGTTACCCTTCAAATGAGATTTCTTCTTCTGTGAGCTCTGAGGTTTGTTTCTATAATTTCTTCTGTGTGCAATATTTCTTTAAGTAAATTCTATAGTGCCAGTTTAATAATCATGACAGTTATGGTCTCTCAGGACTTGGAACACATCATTCCAAACCATCCTGGCCTATAGAGTCGGTGCTAAGAAATCAGAAGTGATTCTGATTGGCTTGCCTCTGAATGTGACTTGATGTTTTTCTCTTGCAGCTTTTAAAATTCTATCCTTGTTCTGTATGTTTAGGCATTTTAATTATAATGTGTCATGGAGAGGTTCTTTTTTGATCTTGTCTATTTGGGATTCTAAATGCCTCCTTTATCTGGGTGTCCATCTCATTCTGAAGGTTTGTAAAGTGTTCTGTTATTATTTTCCTGAAGAGGTTATCCATTCCATTACTTCATAGCTACAGCCCTCCTCAATTCAAGTGATTCTTAAATTTGGTCTCTTCATGTTGTCTCAGAGTCCTTGTATATTCTGATCATGGTTACTTATTTTATTTCTTTAATACTGTCTGAATGTTCAAAGAGAGCCACTTTGTCTACCACCTCTGAGATTCTGCCTTCAGCGTGGTTTACTCTATTAGAGAGATTTTCAGCTGAACATTTTGATTTATTTTGTGGTTCTTCTTCAGTATTTCTATCTTCTTATTGAATTTCTCATCCATATTCTGTACTGATTTTCTTAATTCACTCAGTTGTTTTTCTGTGTTCTCTTGGAATTCATTGATCATTTATAATGATTCTTTTGAATTCTTTATTGGAATTTCATCCACTACTGTGTTTTGTGGGTCATTTGCTTTAAGAGGTGTCATGTCAGCTTGCCTTTTCATATTTCTTATATTCCTGTGTTGGATTTTTATGCAGCTGTTGGGAGATTTCTCTTCCACTCTTATGTATGGATTTTTTTAGGGCATAGTCTTCACTTGCCAAAGTGTCCTAGAGTGATCTGAATTGAGACCACCTTGTAGGTGTGTTGTCCACAGCCTTTGGGTTCTTTCTCTCTGTATGTGCTACAGCAGTGGATGTCCATAACTGGGACATGAGGGCCCACCCCTACTTGAGACCTGATTGTTAGTTTGGGTTTTTGTGTCTTCAGTGTTTTGTATTAAAGTATAGTTGAAGATTGGGTGTCATTAATTTGTGTGTGGAACGTGGTACACTGTCTTGTGGTTGTGTTTAATTCAGAGTTTCTACCCTGTGATCTTGTAGTGTCCCTATAGGTTCCCAGTACCTCACATAGGGTGAAACAAACAATAGCAACAACCAATGAAAATAATATACAGCATTAAACCAGATACTTGGTTCCTGCTATGACATCTGTAATGTTAATTGCCACAAAACCAGAAAGGGTAGCATCAGCAATTGCCAACAGCAAAAATAAGTAACCATGAATTATTATCTGTCTTAAAGCAAACAGCAGGTGTCTACTATATATCCACAGCAGTAATAATTGCAACAGCATTAATGGTGGGACAGAATAACTCCTGTTAATAAACCAATTAGTGCTACAAGATGGTAAGAATGCAGTTAATTAAGAGAAAGGAAGATATAATAGGAAAGTAGAAAAGAGTTAATAATTTCAGAAAATGATCAGATAGATGCAGAAGAGATGTAACATGGTTACATTATTTATATTAGATAATTTATTATAAGGAAGGAGGAGAAAATAGAAATAATAAAGTAAAGGTAGAGTGAGAGAATAATAGAATTTAGCCATTAGCAGAAAAAAAAAAAAAGAGAAAAACAGATCAAATCAGTGAAAAACAATACCAATCTAAAAACCTAACCCTCGGAGGACAAGGCAAAGAAAAATAACTACATCTTAAAAATGCTGAAAATGAGGAAAAGAGACACATGTATATGTATATATGTCCAAGATCCAGTCAGCACAGCAAAAACAAAACAACAACAACGAAAAGATCCTTAATGAAAAATTATGGAATCATCTCCGCTGAGATGGACAGAATAGTCAGTGGAAATAGTTGGACATTATCTGTGCCCAACTGTCTTTCCATTTCTTCTTGGGCTATGTACTAAGAGTGAGAGCAAGGGCTGGGGTTGTTACCTCTTCTTTTTTGTGTTGCTTTCCAAGCTGCCAGTTGTAGTGGCCTAAGGCTGAATCTGGTTCAAACAGTTCTCAGTTTCTCTTCTTTCCAGTATGAGGCAGGATGGGGTAGGAAGTAATGTCAGTTGGAGTTTTGTTTGCACAGACTGATGCACTTCCAGGGTGGGGCCACTGCAGAATTTTATGAGTGGAGTTCCAGTGCCTGGGTCTTAGGTCTAATCAGGCCTCAGGGGCTTTGCTGACACACGTCTGCTCTGGAGAGATTAAATCCACACACCCCTTGGCCAGGCAGCTGCCAATCTCTGTTGGGAGTCTAGATCTCAGGAGCCTCCAGAGGATTCTACTGAAGGATTGGCTGTCCATGAATACAGCCTTTCCAGGCTTCCCAGGCTTAGTCCAAGTACACTCGCACCCGCATGGTTCAGATTCCAGCCCACTTCAGCTTGTCGTGTGAGCCACCAGACTCCTAGTTGGATTTCCTTTTGCTTTTCTGACTTGAATTCTCATTCTGCTAGGTATACCCTAGAAGGCACTGGCCGGGCAATATAGCTGTGTTAGCTCAGATCTTCTGACTCCTATAATGACAGCTGCAGCGAGACCACCTCAAGGTGGCTCCCACCTCAGCTCTCTGAGTCCAGTTGGAAAACAAAGGGTACTTTTCAAGCACCAGTGCACAGTGTAGCCTCTGGATCAGCTAAGGGCAGCCTGCTTTTCTGATCTCAGGTTTTTCCATATTAAATCTGTCCATTGTACTCTCTGTGCTAAATCAGCTGCTGCCCCAACCAACTTGGCTTCAATGTAGTCTGTTTCTTTGTTTAATGTATCCAATTTTCTGAGTCTCTAGGACACTCTAACTGTCCAGTAATATTAAGTTTTAGTGAAATTCCTCTTTCACCCACCTCACAGAGAAGCAGTACCCCTGCTGCATTAATCCCCAGCCATATAGCACCTAGGAATGCAGTCTTCCTCTAGCCTGCCAACTGAATCCTCCGCACCCCACCGTAATTTCTTAGGTGATCTTTTAAGAAAAGTTAATATTATCACTGTCAGTAGATCAGGTACCACAGTGTGCAGGCACTCAACCGTCCCCTCATCTTGATGTCAGTGTCCACGATGGTTCATCCTTCTCCCATTGTCTCCAAGTTCTGTCTGTACATAGTTACTCACCACCATGTTCAAATTCTCAGCCTCAATACTTGTTTTTCTTCTCCAAAATAATAAAAATTTTATCTTGGTGCTTACAAAATTTACCTTTGCTTATTGTAAAATATTCATGTTACAAAAAATGCCAATCACATTAATTCCCACCACTCACAGATGACTACTTAACATTTTAGTGACCATTCTTTGGAACATCTCTGATTGCCTTTTGTTCTTTAATTTTTACTTAATTTTTTAAAATCATAAACCCTTTCAGGATTCTAATAATAGCAGAAAATGCTATTTTAAACCCACTTTTAAAAGGTTTAAAATTTTATATATGATTTTTGAGGCTCAGAAACAACCTGAGCCCCTGCTTGGGACTGTGCTATTTAGCAGACTTCTTTTTTTCACACCACAATGTGTCCTGGACAGCTTCCCTTTAATTAATGAGTCTACACTGCACATTTAATGGCTGCCCAGTGTTCTGTATAAATATGCTATAATCACAGAACTATTGCTAGTGGGCATTTGTGTAGTGTCCTGCTTTGTAAATACTGTGGTCATGAACATTCTTGTGAGGTCCTGTTTGGTCTGAAACCTGAAAGAATAGTTCACTTTCTCTCCAGGGTGCCTTCTTTAGTTGTATCATTAAGACCTAAATTTAACTCCTTCCTAAAGGAAGAGAAAAGAAAATCCTACTTGGAAGACCGACCAGCATTCTGGTTAGCAACATGGGCTGTTGTAGGAGTGAGTGGAATACACACATGTGTGCACATGCACACTTCTTAGCTTTGCACAGGGGACAGCACACTATATAATACAGTGGCTTCTATTACTAATAGAAGTGACCAAACCTGAAGGTCACTGGAAAAATTAGCATTTGACTGGATGTCTTTTCAAAAGTCTGGTCTTTCCACCAGACTTAGAGTATTCCAATGACAGGAACCAAATTATAATTATTTATTGAGCACCTTACTTAGACTAACATACTAGTGTAGAAGTAGATTGTTATCACATTCATGATGGTTGAATGGATCAGTTAAAAACTCACCAATGAAAAAAAATCTAATTCTGAATGAATTTCAAGTAGTTTACATTTCTGGGGTGCTTTCAAAACAGTATGTGGACAGATATTTCACATTTCAAAGAGAGATCCAGAAATGTGGTAATAACTGATTCAAGTTGTATGCTTTTAAAACTGGAAGGAGTGGTGTTTATTTTATTTTTTAGTTTGCTTCCTTGGATGTTTCCTTTTATTTTCTGGGCACATATGTGCACATTTGATGATGTGACTGAACACTGAGGAACAGAAAATTGACTAATACAACAGTAGAATTTGGTAGAGCGTATTCTCACTTCCCATGTGCAGGCCTTTATTTCTGAGTGGTTGTCCTTCTGACACATGCTGACTTGGGTTTCAGGTGCCATTACTGCAAGTCATCGTGCCATGTGTCTTCCCTCCGCATTCCGTATGCCTGCAAGTTGCTCTTCCAGGAGCTGCAGTCTATGAACATTATCCCCAGGTTAAAACTGTCCAAGTACAATGAATGAGATGGAGAAGGTGGGTGAGTGAAAGCAGTGGTTGGTAAGTTTGATGCTGTGGAAAGCAGAAGGGACTGAGAACTGTTTCTTCTTCTGAGAATGACTTCTGGGATTATTTTCTCTCAAAAACAAACAGAACTGATGGAGAAGCTTTGTTGTTCTAGAAGACTGACTAGACAGCCTTCATCAGTGAGCCCCGAGCCACGGGAGAAATGCTGATGACATGGACTGCAGTGCGTTGGATCCACAGTGGACATGACCTAAAAGATAAACAAGCTTTTATTTATGATCTGTAGCTTGAAATCTACTCAGTAGAAAAGACCTTACTCCTTAAAAAGAAAGTTTGGGTTTAAATTCCCCACGATATCTTCTGGTTAACAAAACTTAAGGTTCTCAGGAACCTTTGAGGATGAGAAGAATCGCCTGAGTTCATTCCTGGACTCAAGTTGAGGTGTGTGATTGTGAGCAGGGTGTGGACACAGCAGGGCTATGGGAAGCTGAGATGAATCCGTAAAGTGCTGGATTTCTGTGAGGGGATAAATTTTCCCAACAATTAAATCTTGCCATCACATGCCCAAACTTTGTGAAAAAAAATTACAAAAAAATCTTGGGGAAATACAATAAATATATTCTTGTAAGCAGGAATATCACTTTTCTTATGGACCCAGTTGTACTATTTTGAACTTCAGTCATACCATAAAATAATGTTTATTAAATGTCTGAACAGAACTCCAGGAATGTCTTGTTATTTCCCATCAGGATGTTAGTTGTCCAATCTCTTCTGCAGTTAGCCTTCCTCGCCCTGGTCTGTTTTGCTCTTAACTGCTCTGCCCTGAAGCTGGATAAATATTTTTTATGCCAAGAATTATTTATAAAATAGGAGTCTGAGAAGCTTTGAGAAATGGACTGGGGTGACATTCCCAATGTGTCATATTGAAAATGGCCCACACAATGTTAATAAGTGTTATATACCAATAAGGATCAAGCTCCAGTGTCAAAATGAGGTTGAAGAACTATGTTTAACCAAGTCAAACCTACCACAAAACCTTCTCAAAACCTGTAGCCATCTCAAGCTAATGAGTATTGGGACCTTCTGAAGGTTTGGGGTTAAATTCCCCAAGATATCTTGAGAACTCAGCCTCATCTTGTTTTCTTTGTGATCAAAGTGTAGAAGTCAGGAAGGCTCCACAGCCCAAGCAAAATGGAGGCTGCCGTGCGAGTGAGCAGGCCTTCCTCAGCCTTGGCTTGAGGGACTGGGTAGGAGAAGGAGTTCATAGCCCACATCCTTACTGCACTGGCTGCTCCTTCTCTTAGATTGGCTTTATCGTTCTCAAAATTGATGGTGCAAAAAATGACTAATAATTGATTGTATGTGCAGTCATGCTGTACTCTGTGGGCTATTTAAGGAGTCTTCTGGGTCGATCTTGACCATCTCCTATACCGAGGCAGCAGCACTTCCCAACTCCACTGAAGACGCAGTGGTCCTGCCACGTGTGGCACATAAGATCCATGAATACTAGAGGGTCATTTGGAAAGAGCAGTGTCCTGGATATGGTACAAAGACTTCTGTCATTTAATCATCCAGTGATGTGCACTGGAGCAGGACATGACCTCTGCCTAAAGGAGCACGCACAGGAAGTCAAGACATGGCGGACAGTCACAGAGCATAACGCACCACTGCCTGTGGTCAGTGCTCCAGGAGATGTAGAAACTCCTCACAAGGGTCATTACCCCCTTTATACAAAAAAACCTTACCAACTCACTCTCCAGCACCTCACCACTAAGAAGGAGGGGCACAGGCTTCCTCACTTAGGGAGCTTTGTTTTGGTTTTGTCTGTGGAGGTATTTTTGAGTCAACAAAGGTGACTCTTTGTTTTTAATTCAAATACTACTAAGTGGTCATATTTCTTTCAGATGAACATTTCTTTTGAAAATCATTTCAGGCCCTTCTGACAATTTGGTGGAGAATCATCTATCTAACCTTGGAAATTCTAAGTTCTCTTAAGTTTCCAGGACCTAAAGAGAGGAAGGGATCCAAATGGAGATATCCTTAGGAGAAAAACTATCGGGTTGATATTTCAAAAACCAGCAGATACTATATTTGAATAGCTATTTGTCTCTAAGAAGTACTTTAGTAAAGAGAAAAAGAAGTCAAAACCAGTGAGTTCATTCTACTACAGTTTTTTTTTTTTCTTAAATGTTTTTGTAAGGTCCTTGTTTTCAATACTACCAGTTATATTGCCATCACCAAGAGTCTGTGACCCTGACATGAGCTTTGGCAGGATCATGGCACTGGAAAGACAAAACTGTGGGCTGTAAGTGGCCAGGACACGCAAGATTGCAAGGCCAGGATCCCAGACAGAAAGAAAGCTCACTGAGGGGAGCCCAGCTTCACCATTTTTCCCCTTAGTTTGTCAGCATGG